GGATGCTTGATGTCTAATCCTGATAACCTTCTGGCGAAGAGGAGATGCTTGATGTCTAATCCTTATAACCTTCTGGTGAAAAGGGGATGCTTGATGTCTAATCCTTATAACCTTCTGGCGAAGAGGGGATGCTTGGTGTCTAATCCTTATAATCTTATGGTGAAAAGGGGATGCTTGATGTCTAATCCTTATAACCTTATGGCGAAGAGGAGATGCTTGATGTCTAATCCTTATAACCTTCTGGTGAAAAGGGGATGCTTGATGTCTAATCCTTATAACCTGCTGGCGAAGAGGGGATGCTTGATGTCTAATCCTTATAACCTTATGGCGAAGAGGGGATGCTTGATGTCGAATCCTTATAACCTTATGGCGAAGAAATGTTGGGATGGGAGCTGGTCAAGTATGATGTCTACAGTTTATAAAGTTTATAAACTTATAATGAAGAAGAAGTTTGATGTCATAGTGTCTATTAACCATTAATAACTGTGGAAGTGGAGATGGATTAACTCATTCACCCCTATTGGCACATTTGAACTCTTTCAATTCAAAGGTTAGAATAGTTCATTATGAAATTTCAGGGGCAAATGAGTTAATATAATGTAAAAAATCCTTTTGTTCAACCCCTATATTGGGGAGGGTGTTATGTCAATGAATGTAAATTTACCGTTTATTGCCGCTACAGTCGGGAGGGGGAAATGCATGATCCTCCACATGGTATTCTCGAGCGCCTTGTCGAACCTGACAACCGTTTCGCTGTCCTGAGACATTATCCAGTCCAGGTCGATCCCGTTGCTGTAGAACTTGCCCTCTCCTGTTGTTATTAGCGCCTTGCAATCTGTATTTCTGGTTTAGCAAAGTAATAGTTATGTTACAGTTTAATAATTTCGTCCATTTCCCTTTCTGACAAAGTAAACTACATTAACGTACACGTAATTTCCATCTGTGAATTCAATATATAATTATTTGATATCCTTCACTGCTGCTCCGGATTTTGAAAATCTATTTGTTTACAAATATTTGTGATTTCAATAATCTATCTTAAAAACAGTCATATATGGAGTTAAATTTAAAACGAAACGAAACGAATAAAATAATCTTAAAATAGGCTTCAACATATGATGGTAAAAAGTTTTATTGGGAGTCTTAATACATATATTCTCATGGAAAACATATAACAAACCTATATATACACACATTTTAAACAAAATGGTCCGATTATAACGATAAGATAGACACTGACGGAAAGGAAATCACTCCCGTGTTTTTCGAATGCCTTTTCGATGCTATTTTGATGGCACGTTGAAATGGAAAATAAATAAATAAAAAAACTCAAGTCGAAGTCCTGACCGAAGGTACCGCGCAATAGCTACCAGCTTAATTGGAAAATTGATACCCAAACTGTTTTGCAGTTTATCATTATTTCTAACTTGTATAATTAACATTGTGTATGACGAGTTTAGTTCACTAAAATTTAAGGAAAAGAGAGAACAACAGCGAAATGTTCTAGTACATAGTGCGATAGTACATATGAGGATTAGACTTAGCGAGCATATACCGACACGGCCACGATCACACACTAGGATACATATGCTAGACAATATAAATACATACTTTACACTGCTAACTAAGTCCTGTGTCACTTATAATTTTCTAGATTTTTTTTCTGGTGATGTCCATATGTTATTAATTCAGAAAAACACCAAAACTTTTCTGTTGCAATTTGTTTGAGGTTTTGCCATATTTCAGCTAGAATGACTAGACTATTAGTTTGTTTATCATTTCCAAGACATGAGGAAAGTTCGTTTCTGCACTATGGTAAGGTACACACATGTATTCGTTGTTTACACACGTGTGTGATAGGCCTGTCGCTACACACCCCTCTTTATAACTTACCTCTCGACCTCATTTAGTGCCTGATTGAGGCTATCGAGAAAGATCAAATTTAGGCGGTTTTGCCCATTCCTCATCCGCACGATGGCGAATCTATCCTGGGTAAACTCTACGGTGACAAGGCGTTTCTCCATCGGTCTGTCTGAAGGCGAATCTGAATGTAAACAACCCTTGGACCGGAAGACGACATATATAACCACTGGGCAGGGGAGAAATCATTTTCGCTAGTTGAAGCTGATAACCTATTATAATAGATATATCTTATTTGTAATAGTCGTCTTTACTCTCGATAAACGACAACTCCTGGGTTATTTGTTGACCTGTTTATTACTTATAAAAACCTGTAACATGAAATACATCATATTACTATACATAATGAAACAAACATGTCAAACACCTACCTTACCGTAGCCAGAATATTTCATAAGTTTTTTAACTGTGACATTCAATCTATATATTATATAGAAATTACAGTTTTTATCTAATTATACAACATACTTACAAATATGTAAAATACCTACCTCTTTAATGTGAAGAGGGTTTTTTTCGGAACAAAGTCCGCCGAGTCCTCAGTCTGACTCGTTCAAAAAACACAAAAACTAAAAGGAAACAAATATACACTTTATTTAAAAACTTGCTTCTTCGAAATCACTTGTCTACTAAATTGACCACGCCCGATTTCTATATTTAAAAATACTTCAAAATATTAACTTTACTTTTAAACAAAAAAAAATACGTTAATTAAAGATATTATTGAATAGATACTATAATGAATTACACTGCTATTTATACACTGGTATTACGGTTTTGTACCCGCTACATATTTCAATTTCTATGCTGGCTAGCGGTTGGACGATTTACAGGAACGGGCAGGAACGGGCAGAACCGGGCAGAAACGGACAGAAACGGGCAGGAACGGGCTGCAATCTATTAATTATTATATACATTAATGAATATATATATTAGATACATTTAAGTATCATTATCGGGTATATGATAAATTTGATAAAAGGATTGCAATTACATGATCGGGGGAGAATCGGACTAAATTATATACATACATTTATGTCGATATTACTTATGATACCTACATTTATAGTATCATATATTTTTTTATCGGGTAAAAGATATATTTGATAAAAGAATTGCAAGGAATTAAGAGTATTGTATTGATATGGATCGGGCAGGAACGGGCAACGATTTACAGGAACGGACAGAAACGGGCAACGATTTACAGGAACGGACAGAAACGGGCGACGATTTACAGGAACGGACAGAAACGGGGGAGGATCGGACTTAGTTATATATGTTTATTGTATATATTTAATTATCCTTTTCGGGTATAAGGTATATTTGATAAAAGAATTACAATTACATGATCGGAGCATAATCGGACTGAAAAATATATATATATTTATGTCGTCATTACTTGCGATACCTATATTGATATTATTATATAATTTTTATCGGGTATAAGATATATTTGATAAAAAGATTGCAACGAAATAAGGGTATTGTATTGATATGGATCGGGCAGGAACGGGCAACGATTTACAGGAACGGACAGAAACGGGCGACGATTTACAGGAACGGACAGAAACGGGGGAGGATCGGACTTATTTATATAGTATCATATATTTTTTATCGGGTATAAGATCGGGTATAAGGTATATTTACTAAAAGAATTACAATTACATGATCGGGGCAGAATCGGACTAAATTATGTATATACATTTATGTCAATATTACTTATGATACCTACATTTCTAGTATCATATATTTTTTATCGGGTATAAGATATATTTGATAAAAGAAGTGCAATTACAGGAACGGGGCAGGATCGGACTAATATATATATATATATATATATATAAATTGCCAGGCCGAGGTTCCAATATATTGTCCTGGTTTATTCTTTCAAAAAAGGTTGTTCAAAGAATTATATATTACATTTATAACAAATATGCATCTGGGTTATTTTCTCATTTATATATATGACATTGTTATTGGGATGTCATAACGTTTCGTGTGCCAATCAACTTCGCTTTCAATATCAGGCGGGACTTGGTCTGTTCAAGTGGTTCGGAATCGTTGAGATTCTTTTTTCGTTCAACATATTTCATTTTAATTAAAACATATTTTATTGCTTCTAAATTCAAACAAGAGGATTGGGCACAAGTTATTACAACTTATTAAAGCCCTCTCCTCAACAATTGTACTACAACAATGTGATAGCGACAATAGACATATATGTACATTTTATACCATATAGTACAAGGTAGTGGTCACAAATTGTTAAAACTTTTCAAAACCTTCTCCTGTAAAAGTAAAACGTTGCTCATCGCAGTCAGTTGCACAGTTTTTAGTATCTTTATCACTAAACCAATTCATTTAAATTAACTTCTGAGAAAAAGATGTTATAACATTGTAATCCACCTAAATAAGCAATACCTGGGACTTACATACATGTTGATATAATGTTTTATATTTAAAATTAGCTGGCTAGGTATAAGTACGAATAGGTATGCTCGCTCTGGCCGTTCTATCCAAAGAGACCAGTGCGCCAGGTAAACTACCCAAGATTCAACACTAATAACTGGACAAACAGGGTTGCAACACATTACATCACACCCGCCCAGTACCTCACTGGCATTCACACGTGGTATTTCTGCTCACGCGCTAAAAGTTTCGCCGCAATGTGTCTCGTACAATATTATACGGAAGGATGATTTCCGTTCCATACGGACGCGTACAGCTAAATACCACAAATATGTTAAAAGCAATAATGACAAATGATGACACTACTACATGTTAATCAGCCGTTAACGTACATCATGTATAAGTGGAATGGAGCAGTAACTATTTTTGAGAACAGTCATAAACAATACCCTCCACATTTAAGCTATTCTGGTCTCTGTGGATAATAAGATGTATATATATAGATAGAAGGAGGCAAGCATTTGTGTAGAACCGAAAGTCGTGAAAGGTTGGATAGGCCGAAAGGAACTTCAGTGAAAATGAATTCATTAAACATGCAGAACTAAAACTACGGACCATTGGTAATCTATATAAATGAAACAACGGACCAAGGACGAAAGGCGTTTAGTATAGTCTGACTGCCAGATAATTGACGCTAAAGTATCGAGTTATGCTGCCCACAAACAGCAATAAATGGAATTACTCCAGGCTCTTACGAGGATAACGGCAGTGATGATCGTAAATCAATTTGGATTAACCGAAAATCATCAATACATCTACTGCACATTTACATAAAATGTCATCAATATCAACTCCGTACTTTAAGTTATATATATACATTGTTTTCAAAATAAAGTTTTGACATTGTGCATGGTTATGGTGACCGTTTCGAATTGCTCATTAACTTAAACCATATTAACATTTGTTGATTACCTTGTACATAACAATTATCAAACCCGTTCTTTGGTTTGTTTGTGTGTGATGTCCTAGTAACAGCTATGGCAAGTTAAAGACGTGCGCGGTTTTGGTGGTGGAGGAAAGCCGGAGTTCCCGGAGAAAAAACACCGACCTATCGTCAGTCCCTGGCGACTACCCCACGTAGGTCGGGAACCCACGAGCCAGTGGAGGGCTAGTGGTAGCGGCAGCATGTCAGATGCCTTAACCACTTGGCCACCGCGGCCCCTTAATAGTAAAACCCAAATATAGGGAAATGTGGCGTGTGTTGTAACACACCGTCTCTACAGGGAGTAGGGAACTGCTCTCATGTCCCCAAATCAGTTTGAAGGTGGAGGAAAATCACTCACGTGTGTTCAGTTTGAGGTCAGGATGTCAAAACCGGGAGTAAAAGATGACAGACGATAAAAAAAGGACGAATCACAACAGCAAAGCTAAAGAGATTCATGTTTAAAATACATATTTTTTTTATCATGATTAATGAATGTAAACAATGTCACAATGGTTTGCTAAGAAACTATCTATGTGAATCGTCCAGCAGATGTCAGTATGTACGTACAGTCTTATTTATATCATTGTTGATCTGAGCATTTCTCCTTTACCTTATATACATATAAACATTGAGTCAGACAGGCCATCAAGTATATCAGATATAATATATAGCGTTTTACTACCTCAATTTCCTCATTTTTAGTGAAGGTGGTTCGTATACTGCATTGCTTTTTACACGTTTTGGAGGATGTGAAAAAAATACCATATGATATAAGTATAAACACAAATATTAGATTTATTCTGCATGAGAAGTCATTATTTGTGAAAGCGTAATCGGTCAGGCAACCCCTTACCTTTTCGCGTCCGATTGGGGAATCGAACCCCGGTCGTCTTGGTAATAGGTGAGTGCACTATCAACCGTGCCAATCGACCATACTGAATCTCTGGTGCGGGAGATAAGCAAGGGTATACCGGTACTTTCTGTCGAACGACTGATTTTCAAGTTTCAAAATTGAAGATTGTTTTCCTGAACTCTGGTTGATCCAGACGTTCTGACTACGGTTCTGTTTGTCCTACAACTGCGTTACCTGTGGTTTATTTATTAATGACCTTCTTGTTGAAATCCTGTTCATTTTCAAAAGTTGTTCACGTATAAATAGGAATTCTGGAAAATATCTCAGAACTTTCTATCTTTATTGTGTTCTTTGTCTTCAAATAACCGTTTTGAATCTCTGTACCAGATACGTGTAGGCTGCGTATTGGATTTCAGAATGTTTAAACAAATACTATTGTGGTTGTAAAGCTTAGCAAGCTTTCAAAATATCAAGCCCTGTAGGAAAATTAAATGTTAACAGTTCACAAAATGTGTGCTTTTCTATAAACAAAAGTGGTCGTAACACTGTTCAAGCTTTCAAACAATTAAGCCGTATAGGGAAATTGAATCTTAACAGTTCACAAAATGTGTGTTTTTTATAAACAAAATATCATTGGTATAACTGAAAATACTTATATTACCTATCTCATTGCCAAAACACCACGAGGGAAAACAAAAACACGTCCATTATCTATCGACAGCCTAAAAGGTTTAGTATGAAAGGAAAAAAGTACTTAACACTTAACGAAACCATGTCCTCAGGGAATCTTGATTGGTATACATGTTCTCTATAGCTGTATATTCAGTCACGTGACGCGATTGATATCTGTATCAAAAATCAAAGCATCAATTGTTTTCACAGCAGAGATCAATCTTGGATGTTGCGCATGGATTGGACCA